ATTAATTTTTATTGAGGCTTTTCAACATAATTAAAAAGAGTAAAATTTGAATTAAAGAAGAGAGGAGGGGAGCGGAGAGGAGGAGAAGAGTCTGCCTACTCTTTAGTTCACTAATATTGGATTAGAGGCTATACTGGTAGACAAAACAAAAACTATCATTTCAATCTTAGCTTTTTCTGTGCCTCTTCAAACAAGATGAGGATTCTTTGCTTTTTTTGGAGGGGGGGGGGGGAAGAGGAAATTTTCCAGACACCTGAGAAACGAATACTTTTTATTATAAGAAAGAAAGAAAGAGAGAGAGAGGGAGGGAGGGAGGGAGGGAAGGAAGGAAGGAAGGAAAGAAAGAAGAGCCCCCCCCAAAAAAGGGGGATCTGGAAGTTTCTTATGAAGTGCCAGAATATAACATTCTTCTGCATTGGTGTTAAGTTTCCAATTGGGAAGATTTGTATTTTGTTATAGGTAATTAGCTGTCTTCTGTATATCAAGGAATTTGACTTAAAACAATAAGACACAAACTCATGTATTTGGCAAATGCGCTATAGTCTTGTAACAATGCTTTTTGCACAAAGTCATAGCCAGTGCATTTCTAATCTTCCTTTAAAGTCTGTCTTGAAACATTCATTATCAGATGGAAAAATCAACCACTAATAAGTTTACTGCAAACATTTCAGTCACTGCAGCTTCATTTCTTTACATGATTATATATTTAGGAGAAGATTTCAATTAACCATTTGTGTTAAATTTTCTGATTTGGGCAATTTTAGAATATACAGCATCCTTGGTTTGATGGACAGTATTAGGATCTAAATATACTAAAACGTTAGTATCTCTAAAATTATGTCAGTTAGAAAGTTATGCAATGTAATATCTAATAAAAAAGATCTGATACTTTTTCTCATGCCAAATTATAAGGAAAACCAACTTTAAAAATTGGAAGAAGAATGGTGATATGGAACACTGATTGAGGTAGAGATATTGATTTTGGACCAACTGATAGACAATGAACTTTCAACATGTTCTGTATTAAGAGATAAATGACAATATTTACAATTAAAACAATTGTAGAGCCATCTATTGCATATTTGCTCAACAACCTTACTCTACTAAAAAAAAGTAGGATGGACCAAGAGTTGTGTTCTATTTGTAGTTTGTTTGAAGCAATTGTTTAATGTTTTAGTGCATCATCTGAATTAAAAATTGTACAGGTAATCCACAACTGAGCCAAAAATTTCTGTTGCTAAATGAGACAGTTGTTGAGTGAATTTTGCTCCATCTTGCGATATTTCTTATCACGATTGTTAAGTGAATCACTGTGGCTATTAAGTAACATGATTATTAATTGAATCTGACTTCCCCATTGACTTTGCTTGTCAGAAGCTCATAAAAATTGATCACATGATCCTGGGACATGACAACTGTCATAAATATGAGTCAGTTGTCAAGTATCTGAATCTTGATTATGTGAGCATAGGGATGCTGCAATGGTTTTAAGTTTGAAAAACGGTCATAAGTCACTTTTTTCAGTGTTGTAATTTTAAATGGTCACTAAATGAACTGTTGTTAGGTTGAGGACTACCTGTAATAACTTATATTATTGTTTGTTCTATTTTTATTTATTATCAAATTTACATGTCACCCATTTCACTCTGCAAAGCCACTCTGGGTGGCTTTTCATTTAAAACTGTCCTTACACAGATTTGAGGCTCCCTACCTACCTTCATGTATTCCCTTCAGGGCTATTTTTCTTTGTTATTTGCTATATAAACAGAATAAAATGGTTCTGTTTGAAAAGAAAAAGAAAATTCCATACAACTGAAAACAAAACATAGCAAAATTCAACACAAGAAAGGCAGAAATTTTGAGATCAAGTGGCTAAAACTACCACAAAAATTAATATGAATATTGTGCACGTTATGCAAATATACAAAGTAATATGTTTCACTGAGATGAAATTCTAACTTTTTTTGGAAATCTGGTAGTCCTACTCTAAAGAAAAGCTCATAGAAAGGGAACAATGTGAAGTGTTGGAAGAGAGAATTTCAGGTCTGATAGTATTGCTGGTTATTACTACTTCTATTTCCCCACTAGCCATTTCTAAAGCAGCAATGCTAGGGTAATTGTGCGAAAGATTCAGTATGAATAAATACCCAACCAGCTTTGGAAGTTCATCTTATAAAAAATCTTCTACAATTATAGGCGTTTTATGAAGCTTCTAACTACAGAAAATACCCATTTAGTGTGCATCCGTGCTGTCAGGATGCAAAGTTGGGGGCAGGTGCGGGAGGGGGGTAATGAAGCAATTCAACAAATGAAGCTTTTTAAATATCACTCAGTATGCCCTTTCTCACCCCAGTGAAAAGGACTAAGGAGTTACCAAGAAATACCATTAGCATGGCTCATGAAATTTCACAGCTAAAGGAAATGAGAGCCAGCAACAATAATAGTGGCAGGGTAATTCAATGCCACTCCAATCATTACTGAGTCAGAGCACAATTTTTCTTTCAATCATAATAGTAGATACTTAGTGTCTCTACACTTAATATACTTTTGCTGAAATTTACATAAGATGTTTGAAATAAAGAACCAGTTACCATATATTGTAACTGTAGGTACAGTAGGTAGTTGAAAGCCTGCTAAATTAAGTCTACTAAGAAGCAGATAGGAGCCATATTGGGGGTTGAGGGGTGAACAAGCCAAAAAAAAGGCAGGACATGGTATATTCCAAGGCTTTATAAATGGGGCTATATAGTGGACATGAAATGGAATTTGGAGGGAATGTTTAAGCACCTCCAAACAAATGTTTCTGCAGCCATGCGAAATATATATGATGAATCAATGCAGATACATATAACTTCAGGCATGGAAACTATACACATTGTGTTTACCATGTGAAAAATTTTGAACAGCTGAGATGGAGCCACCTAATCTTCTGTAAACAAGAAAAAAGCTTCCCCTGAAGACAGATAAAGATTATGGGATTTCGCTAGCTACTGAACTTTTTTTTTTTTTTTTTTTTTTTGTAGTTTAGTGATTCAGCTAATCTTCCATGGGATTTGAGAAACAGGGAAGGTTAGTTAGAGATAGTAGGATATCAAGGAAATACCTTCCCTATTCCCACCCACTGAGTGTCAAGAGGGCCTGGGTACCCCCAGACCTATATGGAGTGGCTCATTTGTTTTTGCTGCTAGGGAAGTGGAGTGTTATTGGGTTTTTTTATTGTTTTTGTATTGGTATTTTGTCCTTGTAAGGCACCCGGAGTCACTGAAGAGAGTGACTTGCATGGCTTTCTAAATGTCCTTAAATTAATAAATTAGAGGAAACCACATAAATCTGATTAAGAAGAAAAATAGTTAATTTAACATGGTGTTTGTAACTTTTTCTTTTACAAGGAAATTGAATTCTTTTGATCCCAAGGAATAATTTATTTAAAGAACACTGGAATGTTAATGACATTTCAAAGAATATTCATTGAGGTCCAGTGTCAACCAAAGGTTATAGCCCTGCCTTATTTACTGAGCATTAATTTCCTTCTTCTCCTTCATATTGCAAATAATTATTTCTCCCTGCTCACAGATATACAGTACAAGATGTTCATATCAGCTCTCTCATATATTGAGTGGCAAATAAAAGTACAGCAGTAATTGAATACAATAGAGGTGCAACGTGGTCAACATATCTGAGAAAGGAATCTCGTTGAATCTATCAAGATCTTCATTCCTCATTCCCAGAATAGAAAAAAATGTGTGCATTTTTACAAAACTAAAGGTGCAGACAATGAAGGAGGAAATTGATGGCAAGGGACAACTCCCTTCACACTTTCAGCAAAACAATTACCAATTAGAGCTTGAAAGAATGTAGTAATGGCAACTTCTAATATTCTATTTAGCTTAATATACATAATATGCATATATAATATGATGTAGTAATATATATTTAGGAATGGCCATGTCCTATGAAGCAAGGTTATATGGAAGCTAAGAAGTTACAAAATAAAATCTGCATTCCCTAAATTAAATTACTTCGTTTAATTACTATAAAAATGACAGCAGAAAATCTAACACCTTTAATGTTGTTATGAGCCACTTGGAGATGCTTAAGATGGGAGGACATATTAATCTTTTAAATAAATAAATGTCAAATAAATATCTAGCAAAGATTTTTCAGTATTTGACTTAAGCAAGCATTTTTGAAACTACTGTTTTTATTGACAATTACTTATTGAGAGATTTATCCAGATTGTCAAAACAGAAAGAAGATTCGATTACAAGAAGGAAAGAAGAAAGGTCTTTTAGCGGGTATTCAATAAACAAATAAATACTGAAAAAAGGAACCAGTTTGGTCAAGGGGTTAAGGCAACAGTCTAGAAAATGGGAGACTGTGAATTCTAATCCCACCTTAGTCATGAAAGCCAGCTGGATGACCTTAAGCCAGTCGCTCTCCCTCAGCTCAACTCACTTCACAGGATTGTTGTTGGGAAAATAGGACAAGGAAAGTATGTTGGATTTGTTTACCACCTTGAGTTATTTGTAAAAATAATAAACATGGGATACGAGAAATAAATACTGAATCACTATTATGCTGATCAATGCTATAATTTTATGTGGCTTCCTCTTAAATTAGGAATTCTGCATAACTAAGCCCACTAGGTAGGAAGACGTTTTAGGGTTACTACCTATGTTTGACCAATTTCAAATACTATTAACATTAAATAATTTCTACAAGCAACCAGACAATTTGGTTACACTTTGTTTGTTACTTTCATAACAAAATATTTCAGACAAAATGCTTCAGAAATGAATGATTTCTGTTTAGCCTTTTCCTGTTCAGAAGAATTCATTTAAATTTAGAGGGGGGGGGGAAATCAATCAAAATAAATAAGGGATCTAGGCTCTCTTGCCTATTCCTTGCTACAATGGTGGGTGAATACTAATTTCAATTACTTCAGTTTAACAACAATAAAAATGATGAACTTGCCTGTCTGACATACTGATTATGCCTACCTTTTGCCACATTTTGATAAAGAAAAGCTCTCTGGAAAAGTTGAAAGCGATGTTTGTGTCATAAGCATCATCCCCAATGTTAGAAATGGTGATGTTCAGCGAGATGTTCTTCACAGCTCCCAAAGCCAGATAAGGAGCCCTGTCATCAACACTGCAGGAAAAGAGCAGCAAATTAACACCTGGCTATTCATTCTTCTCTTTTTAGAAATTTTACAGTGGAAAAAAACTGTATGAAATGTGAGCCAAAGAAAATCTTCTGTTACCAGATGACAAATGGAAACAAAAGAAGGATGTGCTGGCTCTCCTCCTAGACTATCACTGTGGACTAAGCCAAAAGTATTATTTCAGGACATTTTGCAGATCAGAGATTTTATTTTATCCACTTTCAGTTCTTTGCTGGTGTGATTCTTCACCGAAATGAATGAGGATAGAATGGAGAGAGTCTATTGTTTTCTAAAAACATAGAATGTCATAAAAATAATGCAGTTTACAAAATATTTGGAATAAGTGGGGTAGAATACAAATATTATCCATTCTATGGCCTCTTCATTTCAATGTTCTCTAAATACCTTTGATGTGATTCTTAAATATATTTATTTATGTGATTGAAAAATTAATAAGGTAGCTTTCCCAGCACAGCCTGCAATAATAAAAAATAGGTCAGCCCATAAACAGATGATTTGGGATGTCAAACAAGCTCAGAAAATGAGTCAATTCAACAAGAATGTAGTAATAGTGATACCGGTTTAATATCAATGTATTAATATGAATATCTGGCAATAAAAACCAGACTGCCTAAGATCACCATCCCTGCTGGAACAATTAAATATGCAACCAGTGCCAGTACTACAATCTAAGAAAAGCAGTTCTTTAAAATATTCGGTATTATTAGATACTTTTAAAGCAGAAAATTGAAAGTGAGATGCAATTTATTTATTGTTGGCTTGCTTACACTATATTAATTTCACTACATTCCTTAAGGACTCATGGCAGTTTACCATATACTGTAGTAGAAAACCATGGTAGTTTATAAAAATCATCCCAAGGAACAATGCAACAAAAGCTAAAATATTAAAACTTACTAAAACTCCAATTCTCCTCATCATTCAATTATTATCTCTGAGACTATGACATTAAAAGCTGTATGAAACAGCTATTTTTCAGCCTTCCTAAATATTAGGAGGCAGATCCCCAAGGTGAATCTATCCCAAAGGACTGGAGTCATAGCATGAGTTTCTCTCTCTCTAATGAAATTTACACTGGAGAGAAACCCTCAGTATCCCTAAAAGGGGCTGTGGATTGAACAGCTACTATAGGTTCTACTTGGAGTTGACAGGCCAGGCAAAACAATAGTTCATACATGGAACTGCTCACCAAGATCATTCAGAAATTGCAAATATTGCAACCTGTTTCTTAGCTGCAATTCACACTTAACAATGTTATGCTTTCTACTTTGCTTACTAGTAGGCTTTCAAGTACCATTCAAAGCACTGGCTTTGATCTATAAAGCTGTTAAAAGTGACTAAAACATTGATAAGTAGTTTTGCTACAGTTCTTCAATAGCTTAAGAATCAATTAAAATTATTTAAATCTTTCATGCACTTTGATTAATGAATTCAGACAAAAATGCAACTTTTTTCAAACACTTAAATAGTCTGTTAACACTGAAATGATGCATGTATTTTTCACCAAGATAACAATGCATATGCACCATAGGCCAGTATCTTCAGCTACTAGTTTCTTATAATAATAGTATTTTTAAAAAGCTCAGAAAAACAAAGACAATGCTTTTAAGTAGTCCAAGTACAGAACATAGTCTACAATGTTTTTCTAAATGATTAAAAAATATAAATTAATGTCCAACTTGAAGGAACCAACATTAAATTCATAGCCTTTGCATTTCTTCACTGAAAAATACTGATCGATGTGAGGCCCAAGTTCAAATCCACAAGATAATAGTAGCAGTAGGTTGGACTAGAAGACCTCCAAGGTCCCTTCCAACTCTGTTATTTTGTTAGGTTTAGGGCATCTTCTCAAAAGAGAGCACTTTCCTGACTCTTTAAATCTGTGGTCATCTGGAATAAATCAGTAAGGAAGAGATTAGGAAAAAGACTTTCCAATTTGCAGAGGAATTATTGAGCTCAGTTTGCTTCTCTGGGTCATGATGTCATTGGACTGCCAACAGTGATGTACGAATGGCAAATCCCAGTGTGGCAGCATCTTACTCAGCATTGGCAGCACGTTATATAAATCAGCTGGATGGTCATTATTCAAATGTTCAAAAAAGAAGTGGACCCATGTTTCTTCAGCACATAGAAATTCTATTTGAGGAAGCAAATGAGCAAGCAGTTGAAGGTAGAGACAGAACATAGCATAATTTTAGTTTCATTGAACCATTAACAATGAGGCAAATTTATGTGATCCTTCTGATTTGCCCTGTAGAATGTGAAACGTGTTTATATTAACTCTGCCTAGAACACGGGTTGGCAACCCACGATTCCGGGGCTGCATGTGGCTCTTTAAGCCATCTCCTGCGGCTCCCAGCCATGTGCAGTGCCCAAAAAAAAAAAGTGGGACTAAAAAAGTTGAACCAATCAATTCAAATTTCTCACGAAAAAAACTCATGAAGTTTGAATTGATTGGTTCAAGGGACGCCGTCTGCCCCATGGACTCGACATAGACAGGAGGGGGGAAAGACAGCTCCCGAGGGAGGCAGCCCCACAGGCAGAAGCCAGCAGTCCAAGCAGAACGGCATGGGAGACATTCTGGGGACTCAGACCTCGCTTCACTCCTGGAGTCACTTGGCGAAGCTTGAAGGAGAGGTCGCCTGCTCCCACCTCCTGCGGAGGAGAACTGCTTCCTCGCCCTCCCAGTGAAAGAACCCCAGAGAGATGGAAGACGTCCTTTCTCCCACTTTCCGCTTCTCATCCTCTCTTTTCCGAGCACCTCTCCCAGAGCAAGCCAGAAGCCTCAACTCCAGCCTCCCGCAGCAGGCTGAGATAGGCGAGCCCGCAACTCCTTCTCCCCGTCAGCCTCCTCCTCCGCTCCCTGGGAATCTTCACGCCAAAAGGCGGAAAGAAGAAAGTCCCAGAGAGGGAGAGCATGGGGTGGGGGGAGAGCAGTCTTTTCCGAGGGGAGGAGAAGCCAGGACGGAATTGGACAGGGGCAGAGCCGGTGCATGTCTTGCCTTAGGCTCCACTCTTTAATCAAGCCCCCTGTTCCGTGCGCAATATTCCACAAATATTTTGTGCTGTCAGTGTAGATAACAGCAAAGATATAGAAATAACCATATAGGTAATCCTAATAGATTTTTCAGAGCTCATATATTGAAGATCACCTGTAGCTTTTGATGATGTTTCAATTAATTAATAACCTAGGGATGTAAGCAAATAGATCCATACAACAAGCAGTCAAATACTATATTAACACTGTAATGAGGCTGCTTGCCATAATCCTTTCTAAACAGTTTCCCCCAGCTTTATTTTTGTATGTAATATAAGGATTTTTAATTCCCTGTTACGTATTACTTTGCACTGTTACACTGTAGTCATTCACAGGTAGTGTTCATTTAACACTATTAAGCATTACTTGTTCAATGACTGTTCATTCGAAAATGTTATATAACTGGTACTTATGACTGGTTTTCAAATTTCCAGCCACCTATGCACCCTCTCTTGCCCAGCAACAGCCATTCCCAAGTCATCTTGCACCATGGGTTACTTGCTTGCTGGTCTGCTTTGCAAGCCACTTGGGACTCACTTAACAAACCAAGATCCCCACTTAATGACAAAAATGGGAGTGCTAGGATTACCATCAGGGAGCATTTTACAACTATATTGCTTAATTACCAGTGTTTACCAAGGACTACCTGTACTATTATTAGGGTTACTTAATGCCAGTTTATATGATTTTCTATTACACATTGTAATTTGATTCTTTTAATAACCGGCAGTAAGTAATGATTATAAGAAATTGTCTTCTGTTAGTATCCTAAAGGGCAACTTAGCAAAAAATAAATAAAATCTCATTTGTTAAGATGAACTGCCTGGTTGTATGAGTCCTATTTTACCTCTTCAAAATCCAACTAATTGCTTTTGACAATAATTCAGCAGCTAGGGAAAAGTACAGTGATTTTATGATTGTTTATATTTAGTAGTCCTTGACTTACAACAATTCATTTAGGGATTGTTCCAAGTTACAACAACATTGAAAAAGATGATTTACAACTGATTTTAACAGACAGTTACAGCATCCTCATGGTCATGTAATCAAAATTTGAAAGCTTAGGCAATTGGCGTGTATTGACAGTTGCACTATCCTGGGGTCATGTGATCCCCATTTGTAACTTTTATAACCAGCTTCTGACAAGCAGTCAATGGGGTAAGCCAGATACGCTTAATGATCAAATAATTAGGAGCTGCAGCAATTCACATAAAAATTGTGACAGAAAAAGGTTGTAAATTGGAGGCAAAATTCATTTAACAACTGTCTTGCTTAACAACAGAAAATTTTGGCTCAATTATGGTCATCGACTGAGCACTATCTGTATACAATTTCACCTTAAAAATAGCTCTTCCCTGCAAAATGGGACAACTTGCTGCAGTCAAGTCACCGCAGCCATTTCACCTTGGCCAACTCATCATGGCCAACATGCATGGACATCTTACCATGGACATCTTGCCACAGCCAACTCGCTGAACAATTGATGTGGGATAACTCAACATGATAAATATTATTTGCCACTGTTTCTTCAGCATTATTTCCATTGACAAAAATGGAAACAAGATAGAAAAAACAGTAACATTTATTGCTTTGAGTTATTCCACGAGGATTGTCCCACAGCAAGTTATGCCATGGCTAGTTGTCCCTTGATGAGCTGGCCATGGCGAGATGGCCATGGTGAGATTGCTGCACCAGGTTGGCTCCAGCAAGATGGCTGTGGCAAATAGGCCACAGCAAAATGGCCATGGTGAGTTGCCAGGGCAAGTTGTCCTTTACCCCTTTCCTACTGGTTTTATTTTTGTGTTGCAGATTTATCACCAAAGGAAAAGAGGCCAGAAAGTGTTTTACCAAACAAACCAGTTGCATTCCATAAATTCCTGGTAGGATTTTTGTGTCTTTGGTTTACATAATTTCCAGAGATATCTATAA